ACTGACCTGCTACATGTGTATGTTGCTCATTATTCACCATGGAAACGTTCATCTGAACTTTATAAGTTGTTTTATACAATTTTTGAAAAGTTTTCTTAGTCTACCCTTTTAATAGAGGAGTTTATAAAATACTAAATTTACTTTATATGAAGAGAGTTCATAGTCCAAGCTTCCAGGGAAAGTTTTGTTTTGTTTTGTGCAGATTTTGCCAGGTTAAACAGTGGTATCAGTGTTGCTTTGTGTCAGTGGAGTTCAAATCTAAACAAGAAGTTTTATTGTATAACCTCTTTTATTATACGGCTCTTGCATTCTTACTACAATACCTTTGCTCTCAGATCAAATTGAGCATGAAGAAAATGCAAGGCAATTAGCAAATTAACCTTTTTATTGTAGTTTCAATGCAAACACAAGTTTTTTAAACACCAGTCATGTGTGACTTTAAAATACAAAATTGATCATAAAAATTCCCTCTAATTGCTCTCCCGGGTGGCACAGCAGGTTAAAGCACAACACTAAGAAGTTAAAGCCACTTCAGCATGAGTTCGATCCCTGCCCCAGTGGTAACCCACATGGCACAGCAGACCTCTCCTGACCCGCCCGCTGCTCCCCTCAACAGTGTACTTTGTTAGTCTGCCTGTTCTGCTTCCCACTCTGTCTCTAGTGAATTCTCTCACTGCCTCTGCACCTTTGACCTGTACCCCAGTTCTGTATGCATAAATAAATAAATATTTAAACAAACAGAAAAATCCCTCTAAGATATTTATATAAGGCACACTACTCAGAATAAACTTGTGCAAATGTGTTTCTCATGTGCCAACATGTTACTGTTGAAAAATGGGAAAATTTTCCAATCATCATAATATAAAGGTGATATTAGGTTAGTTATACATGTTACACATGTACACAGTAACAATTACATATTACTGTTGGAGGTCAACATATCTGTAATAGTTATATAATCAGGTACTAACACAAATAAAACCATAAAAAAGTAATGACAGTGTTTTGGACTTCTCTTCCAGAGAGACATAATGGAGGAACCCTAGGTTTAAGATGTGAGTCTCAAATTAAACAGTGTTTGTATGTTATGTTTTGGAACATGGCTACAAAATATTTTTGAATTATTATTTCCCATGATATGAGCTATATAAATAAATCTAATTATTTATTTCAAGTAGACTTTGCCCCCTTTGAATTTTTTATAAAAAATATTACTTTTTGTATAATGTGGACACAATAGAACCCTAAATAATAATTGAATGGCATTGAAACTATGCAATTGTCTTATATTTTGTTTTTTAATTTATTTGAATTTCTTTTAGTGTTACGTTTTATTATAAAATTGATGTACATTGTAAGCATAAACAATTATAAGAAAAACTTAAATTGAAATAGCGAAGAAGAAACACATTTTGTTTATAATTCTAGAGCATAAGTTTTTGTTATTTGCAAATATCAATAATATTCAATTTTAAGAGCATCATTGTAATAATAACTTTTCCCAAAGCATTTGTATGAGTCTTTATTTTACAATGATTCTATGAATATTTTAAATATGACATTGATCTGGTATAATTTTTGTGTTTCATTTTTCCTTCAATAATTAAGTCACCAATGAACACTCAAATGCCGTCTATAATACTATCATTACCTGAGGTTCAATGAGTTTTACACTTCTTACTTTCAAACTATTTAAGTATGCCTTTGACTACACTATTTCTCAAGTCTTCCAGACTCTTGAATTAAAGTCAGTCTGACTGGCCTCCTTGGTGGCACAAGAGGTCAAATCACAGCACTATGCACATATCTGCAGCCACTGCAGCACAAGTTAGATCCTTTTGAGGAAGCTGACCACATGGCACAGCAGACTTCTATCGCCTTGCCCACTGCTCCCCTCAGCAATGTCTTACAGTAGATCTTCCTGTTCTGCTCCCAACTCTGTATCTAGTGAATCCTCTCACCCCCTGCACCTCTGTCCCACACTCCAGTTCTTGTATGTATAAATAAATAAATACATTTTTTAAAATAAATAAATAAAAATAAATTCAGCCTGACTATTGCCTTCAGCATACCACTAAAATGTGGTGTAAAAAAAGTGGTTAGATGTTCTCAGGTGAAACTAGTTCCCTAGAGAATAAATAAAGTCCTTTCACTGTTTAAATTTTTCTTTCATATTTCCAGTGTGCAAGCTTGTCTTTTCATTCTGTTCATCTTGCATATATTGATAACCCAACAAATTTATAAAATATGCTTAGGTCTGGTGGTGATTGCCAATGGATATATAAGATGACTTCCTTCTCCCTCCCATGGACAGGAAAGGGAAAGCATCTTGAGTTCTGATACTCTGCATTGTTCTACATATACTTATCTCAATTCTCTATTCTGACTAATACTCCTCAATGTAATTAGAATGTTTTCTGGTGTGCCCTTTAGAGACATTCATTCTAGAAAGCAGAGTTATGTTAGGTCATAAAAATAGACAACTGAGAAGATGTATTTAAAAGTCATTATTTTTAAAGTTCAGTCTCTAATATGGAGTCATTGCAAAAAGATTATTTGAAAAAAAATTATTAAAACCTGGTGTTTATTATGATCACTTACTTTTTTATTAAAACTTGGAGGAAACTACACTGGGAACATACTTTACGATGTAAAATTATATTTTAAAACTATTATTAAAATAAAAGTTGTCCAACCATTATTAACATACTAATTAACAATTCTGCCAGAAGCATTTTGGAAAGAATGGCTACTTTATTGACCTAGCCAAATTATTGAGCAATTACAGTTAATGAAACCTAGAGAACAGTGGATTTAGCCATTATCATTTTGAATGTGCTAAATTATATATTTTACTCTTAATTTTGAGATAATGCTTAGTAACCAGTTATTACACTAAACCTTTGAAAGTAGATATGAGTAACAGAGCTCTTCAAACAAGCTTGACCTTGCCTTTAGTTCTTTTCTTACACAAAATTTATTGAAAAAGTTAAAAAAAAAAAAAGGATGCCATACCAAACATGTCTCTCTGACTTATTGTATAGCTAACCAGTAATGTGTGTCCCTAAAAATACTACATGCAAGACATAGGCAGGATATGCAACTTAAATAGCTTCAAATATTTTCTACATATATATTATGGATAAAATAGAGACATGCTCAAATTAGAAATGAGAAGAATCTATACCAATCCACAGGAAATTTAGTTCAATTTACTCACATGTCTCTGAACACCTTTTCCTCCATAGGCTTTACTTCCAGAATATTCTTCCTGTTACCTGGTCTCCCAAACCTAAAGGGACATAGTTGGAGAATTATGATGCAAGGGAAAATTATTTCAGTTCTTTCCATTAATTCTAACTGTATTTTAGTTGTCATCTATTTAAATCTTCATTTTAAAATTAACTTGGTCATCAGCTAGCAGCAAATTTGGTCTAAGAATAATTTCCTTGCTTCATTTTCTTTATGTTACTCCTTACCTTTCTTCTCTTTTCTTGACTCTACAATTCCATCTAGAATGACACACAGTGTCACTAAAAGAAATGAGGAGCCTAACAACTGAAAGAATCTAAGGAGAAAGGATATTAAAAACCTCAAACTTTTATTTTTTTTAAACTGGCACTTCACATTAACTAACATGGAAATACAATGAATTGAGTGCATACCTACAATCACTAGATATTAACCATACTGTTATTCTCTAGTTTTTATTAAAGTGCAGATACCTCTTTTTAAAAAAAATAGCATTTGCAGAAATGAGACCTAATATTTCATTATTTATTTATGCATACAAGGACTGGGGTACAGGCCAGATGTGCAGGGGTGAGAGGATTCACCAGAGACAGAGTGGGGAGCAAAACAGGCAGATCTACTGAAATACACTACTGAGGGGAGCAGGGGGTAAGACAGGAGAGGTCTGCTGTGCCAGGTGTGTCATCTCCCTGGCTGGGGATTGAACTTGTGCTGCTGTGGCTGAGGCTAGCTTCATCTTGCTGAGATTTAACCCCACCCGGGCCCCTAATATCTCATTATTATAGTTTCTATATGACAGTGGATTTAGCCATGATCATTTCTAGTATATTCACTTTAGGTGTGAAAAAATTTAAGATACTTGGAATGTAGATAAAAAAAGAATGAATTGTAAAACACAGATGTTTTGAGAATTAAGGAATCTGGGAGTTTAGAGTTTTATTAAGGATGATAAGACACTTCAAGGGTTAAAGAATACATAACTTTTAAAGTAAAACCTTTTAAGGAAAAAAAATGCACTCTGGGCTAGCAACATGAATCAAGATATATTCGGTGCCTCTATACTCATTTAACTTGTTTCATTGCATCTGAAAAACTATAATTTCATATTTTGGAGAGTGATGGGTAGTGTTTAATTAAATACAACCATTGAAAATACAAGTTTTTAAATATATTTTAAAATAACTATAGTTTCATTCTTAGTAAATAATTAATTTAACTGAAAGAGAATCTCATTTCTTTCTTGTCATTGAATAGTAGCTGTAGGGGAAGAAATAATGAAGTATAAAACTTCCCTGACATGTGGCTTTAAAAAAATTAAATGGGGGAATCCAAAAATGCAAATATTGCAGGCAAGTAGTTCATCTTAACAGTCTCAAATATAAGCAGTGCACAAGTTCAATCAAAATGACCAAGAAACAAATGAGAAACCTGAAGCACCCTTCTACAGGAGCAGGTTTGCAGTTTTCTGCCCTGGATGAGAACTGGATATAATGTAGGATTTAGTTTGCTATATAGCAAACAAAACAAACAAACAAAAAACATTAAACATTTACACCGATGTGTAATTATTTTTCAAAATTCACTTGCACTGCATTTGGTATGAAAAGGGAGTGGAAAGACCATTTGCAGAAAGAGGAGGAGTTGAGCAGTCCCAAGGTGGAGCTGTCTCTTGTGTTAAATGACACTGGCAGATTAAAGCATTCTGATGGGGAAGGGCTTAGAGGCTGAGTCAAAAGCCAAGAAGTCTCTTTATTTACGCCTACCTCCCAGCCCTTGGCAATCTGACTAATAACAAACTGAGCTAACAAGAAAGACTAGAAAGGGAGGAAAGAGAACATTGCTGCAGCTTGGATCTACAACCTAAGAAAGCAAGAGTGATCAATACCAGCTCTGTTAAACATCTTGTTTATTTGCTGCATTCAGCAGCCTGCAAATGGTTAACTATATGCAAAAAACTCAGCATAGCTGTGAAGTATGCTGTGAATTCTAATTGGGGAAGAAAAGGACAACTGCTTCAGGATGATCTAGTATGCATTCTGCTTGAAATATTTTCAGTGAAATGCTCAGCATTTTGTCTTTGAACAGAGGTTTTAACTTTATGAAGCAACGGAATTGCCAGAAAGTGATATTTCAGAAGAAAATGCATAGTGGTTGGTGCTTTCTTTTTTAATAAAGAAACTGAATTTATTCTGAACATCTCTTCCAGTTGTGCATTACAGATAACGCCAGGAAGAGTCTCTGCTTTACAGGTAAGATGAATGTTTCCAGACTTTTCTGTTAATCTATTTTTGCATTATCCTAGTGAGTGAAAATGTTTTCTCCTTAATAAAATACTTTGCTTTAAAGGCTTTAAAGGCTGTCCCATTCCCTTCTTGCTCATTGGCACAACTATTGCAGTAGCAGATGCCTGCTTTCTCTGAGCTGTGGACATTCAGTCCAACAGCTGGCTTAGAGAAGAACTAATAAAATAATATGCCACTATTTCTTGCACAGCCTGCAGTTTCTTACTGAAAACTAAATAGGTGTGTTTTCTGAAGGAAATATCACTTCCAAATGCCATTGTTGGGTCTGAAATACAGTGGAACTGTAAAAGATTCTTTGTATTTTAAAACTATTTTGTTTTCTGATTTGACAGTATACATTTTCTGAAAAAATTGTAAACAGATTTTGCACCACTTTTAACATAGTACCGAGTATTGTCAGTATGTAATGACTCTTCAGATTTGTGTATGTTTTTGAAGAGATAAGTAACTATCCTTCAGAACATTTTGAAGAGCATAACAGATTACAGAAGTAGTGAGAGACTGTCATCTGCAAGTTATTTACTATTTTCTCAAGATTATGTGCCTGATGAAATGAGTAATATTCTCTCTTGGTACTCTTTGGAGAAGTACTTCTTGTTTTTGTGGAAACTAATCCACAAGTTGAAGCTTTCAATTCCAAGCTATGATTCTAAGCACAGCACTTAGGGCGGTTTAAAATCAAACTATTTCCCTATGGACGTGTTAAGTCTGTTAACTTTTTCTTTCTAGAGAAAGGCACTGGATTGCATTGTTTCTCTGGCTGCCTTTTAACTTCCAAAAACTATACTATACATATTTTTAGAAAAGCTATATATTTTCATGGAATGAATGTTAACTTTCAGGGTTATTTATTGGATTCTAGTAGGTTTTATCTGATCGTGAAATTTAATTAGATCCAAAGTTGCTGTTCACATTCCATTCAGAAAAAGGAAAGCAGCTACCATTTGGAAAAGTTATATAGTTTCAAGATGTGGTGTTTGCTTGTCTTTCAATTTAGTTCTTATAAATTTGATACAATATTTAAATACATGGTAACAAATTAGGCATAATTTATTATTAGCATTATAGGTAATTACCTTATTGATGTTATTTCAGTCCCATGACTTATAAAATTGCCTTTTAAATGCATATCTTAAATTTTTAATGAGCTGGCACATGTGATGTCTTCTTAAAATGTCATTTTTCATGTACCAAACCAAAGATATCTTCAAATTATTTAATGTATGCAGTTGTTTAGAGTTCATTGTGTGTGACTAAGCCATATAAGAAAGGACATCAGCTGCTTAATTAGGTGATGACATTCATTGCCCTAAAGCCTGATTGGAGACCTCCTTAGGAAGTCTTTTGTTAGAAATTTATGAGGCGTTGTTTATTTTTTATAATCGCTAAAAATGTGTGTTAATTTTTTTCCTTTAGTTTTTATGGCATTAAGCATATCCATAACAGATTTAAATGTACCAGGAAATATCCTACCTCTGGAAATTCAATGCAAAGGGTGACTCAAGTGAAATTTGAATGAGTGTTCTTAAGCATATATATCTGATATTTGGCTGATTCACACTGCCCTAGGCAGCTTGGTAAAACAAAGCTGGTTTTATAATGTTCAACCTAATTATGATCAGACAGTTTCCTCAAGGTTTTAAAATAAATAATAAAATTATTAAAGGATCACAAGTCCATCTCAAAAGAGTTTACACACAGACATGGCTATTAGGTTATTGTGATATTCACTTTAAAATTAAAGTGAAAGTATATTCTACATAAATATATGGAGTTATGAATACACACACATGTTGCTTCTAAAATTTTTGTTAGCACCTATTTCTTTTATACTGTGACCTTTTCACCTTACATTAGTCTACTTTGAATTAAAATAATGCAGGATCTTTTCAAATTTACACCTTTAACACATGTAAAAGTGTCAGTGACTCATTTGATCAGCACTTCTCTCTTCTGTTAAAATGCAGTGTTTTTGTTTTTTGTTTTTTGTTTTTGGCAGATGTGAACCAACTGCTACTATAACATTTCAAATTTTACTGGGCCTACATTTCATATTTGGACTCGAATATCAGTTAAAACAAACAGAACTTGCCTGTCATCATATTAAAAAAAATCAAAGTACATTTAGACATAGTATTTAAATATGTAGCGTAACCAACAATTTTCTTTTTATAGGAAAATCTCTCCTTTTAGAAATATCAGGTTATCTCCTCACTGCTCCAGCCCACTGATACTTCACTGCTATCACATTTTATTTTACAGAATCAGATTCCATCATATGACAACATGAAGCTGTGGATTCATCTCTTATATTCATCTCTCCTCACCTTTATGGCCTCACATTCAGAACTACAGGTGTCCTCAGACAGAGGATCTTGTGATTCTGTTTGCAATTGTGAGGAAAAAGATGGCATGCTGCTAATAAATTGTGAAGATAAAGGTATCAAGAAGTTATCAGAAATAAGAGTGCCACCATCACGACCCTTCCACCTCAGTTTATTAAAGAATGGCTTGACGATGCTTCACACAAATGACTTTTCTGGACTTACCAATGCGCTCTCAATACACCTTGGATTTAACAACATTGCAGATATTGAGACAGGTGCATTCAATGGCCTTGGCCTTCTTAAGCAACTTCACATCAATCACAATTCTTTGGAAATTCTTAAAGAAGACTCCTTTCATGGACTGGAAAATCTAGAATTTCTACAAGCAGATAACAATTTCATTACTGTGATTGAACCAAGTGCCTTTAGCAAGCTCAACAGACTTAAAGTGTTAATTTTAAATGACAATGCTATTGAGAGTCTTCCTCCAAATGTATTCCGCTTTGTTCCTTTAACCCATCTAGATCTCCGAGGAAATCAGTTGCAAACGTTACCTTATGTGGGCTTTTTGGAACACATTGGCAGAATATTGGATCTCCAGTTGGAAGACAACAAGTGGGCCTGTGATTGTGACATACTGCAGTTAAAAATCTGGTTGGAAAATATGCCTCCTCAATCTATCATCGGTGATGTTGTATGCAACAGCCCTCCCCTTTTTAAAGGAAGCATTCTAAGTCGTCTGAAAAAGGAATCTATTTGTTCCACTCCGCCAGTGTATGAGGAACATGAGGATCCTTCAGGATCATTACACCTTGTTGTAACATCCTCCATCAGTGACAGTCGCCTGTCAACCAAGACCACATCCCTTTTGAAATTGCCTACCAAAGCACCAGGTTTGGTACCTTATCTTACAAAGCCATCCACTCAACTTCCAGGACACTATTGTCCTGTTCCTTGTAACTGCAAATTATTATCCCCATCAGGACTTCTAATACATTGTCAAGAACGCAATATTGAAAGCGTATCAGATCTAAAGCCTCCTCCACAAAATCCTAGAAAGCTTATTTTAGCGGGGAATATTATTCATACATTAGTGAAGTCCGAGTTGGTAGAATACTTCACTTTGGAAATGCTTCACTTGGGCAACAATCGTATTGAAGTTCTTGAAGAAGGATCATTTATGAATCTAACAAGATTACAAAAGCTCTATCTAAATGGCAACCATCTGACCAAATTAAGTAGAGGCATGTTCGTGGGGCTCCAGAATCTTGAGTACTTATATCTTGAATACAATGCAGTTAAGGAAATACTACCAGGGGCCTTTAATTCGATGCCTAAACTTAAAGTCCTTTACTTAAATAACAATCTTCTACAAGTTTTACCACCACATATTTTTTCTGGAGTTCCCCTAACCAGGATAAACCTTAAAACAAACCAGTTTACCCATCTACCTGTCAGTAATATCTTGGATGATCTTGATTTACTGACCCAGATTGACCTTGAGGATAATCCTTGGGATTGCTCGTGTGACCTGGTTGGACTACAGCAATGGATACACAAATTAAACAAGAACACAGTGACAGATGACATCCTCTGCACTTCTCCAGAGCACCTTGCCAAAAAGGAATTGAAAGCACTCAATAGTGAACTTCTTTGCCCAGGTCTGGTCAATAATCCATCCTTGTCAACTCAGACTAATTCCATAATTATCAGTACTCCCACAACCACAACCACACCTGACACTCTTTTAAGATCACTTACAGATGCTGTCCCACTATCTGTTTTAATATTAGGACTACTGATTGTGTTCATAACTATTGTGTTCTGTGCTGCAGGGATAGTAGTTCTTGTTCTCCATCGCAGGCGGAGATGCAAAAAGAAACAAGCAGATGAGCAGATGAGAGACAACAGTCCCGTGCACCTTCAGTATAGCATGTATGGTCACAAAACCACTCACCACACCACTGAAAGACCTAAAGCATCACTCTATGAGCAGCATATGGTGAGTCCCATGGTTCATGTCTATAGAAGTCCATCCTTTGGACCAAAACATTTGGAAGAGGAAGAAGAAAGGAATGACAGAGAAGGAAGTGATACCAAACACCTCCAAAGAAGTCTTTTGGAACGTGAAAATCATTCACCCCTCACAGGCTCAAACCTGAAATACAAAACAATGGACCCATCCACTGAATTTTTATCTTTCCAGGATGCCAGTTCATTATACAGGAACATTTTAGAGAAAGAAAGGGAACTTCAGCAACTGGGAATCACAGAATACCTAAGGAAAAACATTGCTCAACTCCAGCCTGATGTAGAAGTACATTATCCTGGAGCCCATGAAGAATTAAAATTAATGGAGACACTAATGTACTCAAGACCAAGGAAGGTATTAGTAGAACAGACTAAAAATGAGTATTTTGAACTCAAAGCTAATTTACATGCTGAACCTGACTATTTAGAGGTCCTGGAGCAGCAAACATAGAGGGAGAGTTGGAGAGATTCCACAGAAATGCTGTGATTCTGTCTTAAGTTCACATCTTGTATATCAGTGCCTTACATGAGGGAATCATCAACCAGAACTTAAGCACAGCAGTTACCTAGTAGGAAAAGAGAAGAAAAAGAAACTCAGGGATCACTGGGAGAAGCCATTGCATTGTCTTCAGGCAATTTTGTCTGTCCCCAAATAAATCTTTCCTAGTAAAGTGTTTAAGGATTAGAATACTACTTCTCCATATAATTAAAAGTGTTTCATAGAAGTCCTCTTCACATCTAAAATGGTTCAATATTTAAGCAGTGCTTATTTTCTTGAATTGCTTTACCCATGGATTTAATGTAAATGGATTTTGTAATTTCAAAATTATACCTGTATATGTGGTTATATTGTAGGAATATATTGTTTATATAACCAGTATGTGTACTGCAAAATGCACATTGTCAAATGCACCTAATTTTCTTGCAATAAAGGCAAAATGAACTGGAACTTTAACTTACAAATAATAGTAGTGAAAGCAAATGGAATGTTGAATTATGTAGGTTATACATGGCCCAGAACATTGAATATTTGAAGATTAAAAAAGTGTCACTGCTATGCTTTCTGAATTTAAAAAAAAAATGAGTAATAGTCAGGTGAGTATGGAGATATTTTGATTTTTCCGCACATTTTGTGTGGACAATAATTATGTCAATGCTGCTGTGAACTAAGGTATGTTATTTGTGCTCAAAGTTTAATTCTTATTCTTGGGAAACTTTTAAAATGCTACTGATATTCAACTGTAAATATGATTAGTGCATCTATTAAGTTGGGTTTCTTTCATAGGATTAATCTTTGTAAATTTGAATGATCACGATAGAAATATGTTTCTTGTGACAAGTGATAATTTACAGGCATAAAACAAATAGGAAAACATTTTATTTTTATTGCTGTATACTGTTAGTTGCCATAAATTAGTAGCAAAAGGCACGTCTAAGGGTAAGTGGTTTAAGTTGCCTCTAGAGTGGGACAATGTAGCTTTATTTTACAAGAAAGTATAGCTAGATTTATACAAACTATTTATTCTGTACAGTTTTGTATATTTTTGGTTCACAAAGGTAATTATTCTTGGGTGCCTTTCAGAAAATTAAAGAGACTGCTCACTTCAATAAAACTAAATTGAAAACAATTTTGAATATGGACTTTTTTAAATTAGGCTGATTTGTAACTCAATCAAGTCAGCACAACACCAAACACATCAAGTCAGCACAAACACACACACATGAAGCATGACATTTCTCTTTGTCATCATGTGGAGATAAGTGTCTTGTTCACCATCTGCAAAATGACCCATCAGTGACTTAGTTGGATTGATGTGTAGTCAGTACTTCTTTTCCAGAAACTAATTTTTGTCCCCCACCATAAACGGAAATTATTTTTTTTTCCTTCTGTACTACAGCATCAATCATACAGCAGATTTTTACAAGGTAAATGGAATTAATCCAGGTAATCTAGTTCTATTTTATGAAGACCATGAAGACATATACATAGTTAGGAAGAATTTTTTTTATTAAGAAAGAGTTAGGGTTATTTCACATGTTTTTAGTGATACCTGAAGGCCCCATTAAGTGTTTGGGTCTACAACTGTCATCTTTGCATTATAAGCAAAATATAATTATTGCTTTGATTTTGAATGAAAAGCCTTCCTATTGACAAAATTATGAGTGATGTGAGTTACATGATAAGAAAAGTAAGTACAAGCCTATTGTAAATCACATCACTAGACTTCCTTTTAGATCACTGAAATACTCAGGAAAAATCAATGATTATGTATTAAAAGATTAACTGAAACCTATTTTTTTTCATAATTTTCCAAGGTTGAAAATGCACAACTGGAAAGTCATATTTTCCTTAGCAATTTTAAGGGGAAACTTGTGTGCTTTAAAATGTGTAACTTATAATTGCTTTATATATTTCTCTACTAAAAAATACTCAGCACAATATAGTAAACCTTTCAAAACACAATTTTTAAATTGCATCTAATGGAAACAAAGGAACACAATTCATTTTGTTGAAATTTTCTTGTTCATTAGGGTATTTGTCAATATTTTCTAATTTCAATCAAGTAGGTAGATGTATTAGAAAGAGTTCAGAAATTCCCATGCCTGGAGGACCTTTGGAATGAATCCATGAATGCACATAGAGACATGCCCTCTAGAATATTCTTCTCTTTTGGGTGGGGATCTTTTGAATCTTTATTCACTTAATGCCAAAGCAATAATGTTCATTCATCAGCTTAGAATCAAGATGGGACAAAGTTGCATATGAAGTCATATGAATAAATCTCCCAAATTAAAAATTACCCCAAGACTAAAAGCCTATGGAAGTCTGGGTATAACTTACAATGATATAGAAAGCAATGGTTTCCAAAGTTTAAGATTGTTTAAAGATCTAATTATTTCATGTTGAATGGAATCTTTCTCATGTGATTTGTTTTCCCATTAGAAATTATTGAGAGTTAAAGTTAGTGATGGTCTTTCCTCTTGATGCATCTTGTCACTTGCAGTGATTTACTCAGAACTTTGGTTAATTTGACTGCATCCGTTATTTGTCCTACCTCACACTAAAGGAAATATATGTATGTATATATATATGTATATATATGTGTGTATATATATATATATATATACACACACACACACCTGTATATATATTTCTTAAGTGATCTCCAATTGTTGTGATTCTCAATTGCTGAAGTAAGGAAATGGATATTTAAATAGATACTGTGGTACTTTACTGCAACTTCTTGGTATGCATAGAGCTCCAGTCCTAATTCTGAACCCACAGCTTTGTTTACATATACCTTTTCATTTTAACAAAAGCAACAACAAAAATATTTTTATTGTTCTAGATTTTTCTTTATTTAAACAGAAGCTACATTGGCCACTGAACATCATTGAAAGTTTTCAATGACATCTGAACCTAGATTTTTTAATACAGTGCTATTAGTGTATAGCCATTTATAATAAACTGTTTAGAATTATGTCAATCTGTAAGACATAGAGTTCATCACTTGTTTTAATAGTTTTTTTTTTTTTCCATTAAGCTGTCATGGTAATACTATGAATTTATAAAAGTGTTCTGCAGATGTCTACTATTGTTCTCTATGCTGTAACAAAAAAATTTAGATTTATATCAGAAAGTTTTGCATCAATCATATGGATCTGCTTGCTGCTTTACTATTAAGTAACTTGAAACACCATCTAAACACTTTTTTAAGCTGTCTTGATGCTTTGACTCAATAAATTTAAAAGGCTTTTATTCAAGTAATTTAAAAGACACAGTTGTGTCTTGGATTGAAGAATGTGATATGTATCTCACTATCATTAATGTACAACTTTTAAAATAATGGTTTGTATCTACATCTATATCCATATTCATATCTGTAGTATATCCATATCATTTACCTATCTACCTATTTAAATATCTATAGCTGGAGAACTAATAATTTTAAGATATAAGCAGATGATAATATCTCAATATATCTAGTTTATTTTTATATTTTAAAGATTTATTTATTTTTGCATACAAGAACTGGTGTACATGCCAGAGGTGCGGGGGTAAGAGGACTCAACAGAGACAGAGTGGGAACCAGAACAGGTATATTGAAAAATTACATTGCTAAGGGGAGCAGTCAGGAAAGGTCTGCTGCACCATTTGGGTCACCTTACTGGCTGGGAATGAAACTCCTGCTTCGGCTAGTTTCGTAGTGCTGTGTTTTAACTCATTGAGTTACCGGTGGAGGGGGCTCTAGTTTATTTTTATATCATTTATTTTTCTATAGAAACTAATAGTTAAGAAGTTTAGAGCTCTCAGTAATAAGAAATTAAATTAAGGATTTCTTTCCATTTCTTTTTCCTGAAACTTTACTATAAAAGATGAATGATGGCAGTTAGGTCGCTTTTAACATTTGAAAATAAAACTTTATTATTATAGCAGATTTTGGCTCGGAGATTAATTGATCAGAAAATTCATTATCTTTCCTTTGCACCTGTGGATCCCACAGACAAAAACACCCATGGGAGTGATACAAATGATGGTCCTAACATTAGTACTTGTGATCATCCAAAGTCCATAATTTACATTAGAGTTTACAATAGACACTGTATACTCCGTGGACTTTGACACATTTATAATATGCATTCTACATTATAGAATCATGCAGAGTATCTTCACACTCTTAAATAACCTCTGCATTTTGCTTAATTAATCTGTCCTGTCACACACTCATTTTTCTTTTTTTTTTTACCCTCTCTGTTATTTTTGCCTTTTCCGGAGTATCACAGTTAAAAATCACAAAGTATTTAACTTTATGTTTCAGATTGTCTTAATCCAATACTTATTATTCCTTTACATCTTATTTTGGCTCAGTGGCTTATTTTAGCATTGAATAGCAGCTCAGTGTCTGGATATGTCACAGCTTATGTAACATTTGCCTGTTGAAGAACATTGTGGTAGGTTCCAAATCTTCACAAGTGTGAACATCTCAATTCAGGTTTTATGTGAACATAACGTTTCACTTCACTTTGGCCAATACCAAGAGGCACAACTGCTGGATCATTTTGTAAGAGTTTGTTTAGCTTCATAAGAAACAAGAGGGGTGCCTCTCTCATGGTGCAGGGATTATAGTCAAAGCTATGAAGCTATTGCCAGCCACTGCAGCATGACTTAGATCCCTGGCCAGACACACATGGCACAGCAGACCTCTCCTCCCTCACCTTCTGCTCTCCTCAGCAGTGTATGACAGTCAGTCTGCCAGTTCTGATCCCACTCTGTGTCTGGTGAATTCTCTCACCTTCTCCTGCACCTCTTGCCTATACCCCAGTTCTTACATGCACAAAATAAATAAAATCCATTTAAAAAAAACAAACAGATTTTCACTTACGTTGCTGGCTATTTCTGCAGAGACACATACATAGTTACCCTTAAGCAATGCTTATAGAATTTTTTGAGAAGCAGACAAGATTTCCCAACCTGCCCCATATTATGATTTGCAAATAGTGACTGTATGCCATGCTGTGGATTGGCAGTCAATGGCAAGCCAGCTATGCCTCACATTCTTGCTTGTTACGAAGATATACAGGTCACTCTCTACCTCCATAGCTGTCTCACAAAGTGAGAAAGTAGCTGCTGCCACACTTAAAAGTCAAATTTTCACTCATCATTGTTTTTTTGGGAAAAGCAATGCTAAAAGCAAAGCTAACAGAGAGGAAAAGAAAAGGGAGAAGGGGCACAATGGACTATGGTAAAAAAAAAATATGGGAGTCTTGGAAGTAGGTATGAATTGTTAACATGTAATATATACCTGAAAAGGTGGTGTCATATGTATATATGTATATATATAAAGATTTATTTATTTATGCATATAGGACTGGGTTACAGGCCAGAGGTGCGGGGGCAGTGAGAGGATTCACTAGAGACAGAGCAGGGAGCAGAACAGGCAGACAGACGAAGTACACTGCTGAGGGGAGCAGTGGGTGAGCCAGGAGAGGTCTGCGGCACCATGTGAGTCACCTCCGGGGAGGGGATTGAAATTATGCTGAAGTGGCTTTAGCTTCTTAGTGCTGTGCTTTAACCCGCTGCAACACCAGGGAGGGCCCTGGTGTCCAATATTTTTTATTCATATATATTGTTGTAAATGATATCACCTTATTTTATATATATATATATATATATAAGCTAAAATAAGATTAAAGTATATTCATATGCTAACATCTTTAGTTTTAAAGGGGAAATGCTACAACTCGTTTCCTTATTTCCTTGTTCTTCGATGACATGTTAAGCAATTGTCATGGAACAATCCCTGAAGGGTATTAAAACATGAAAATAGGATAGGGATAGCTCCTAGAGATCAATTTGTAAAAAGATGTAATTGGAAGATGGCAAGCCAGTGGGAAAAGTGTTAAAGATGGTCTTTTAGCTCAGAGTTCCCTATATTCTTGGTCCTTTTCCATTCTGGATGTTTCTTTTCTCTTGCCAATCAGATTATCACTAGCTTTACAGAAAAACAATAGACTGAGCTCTTTGGGAAATTGCCCTCTGGTGTCTCTTGGGCCATAAATTTTGTTCCTTCGCTGTTATCCCTCCAGCATTGTAAGTACCATCTTCAAACTAAAACAAATGTTTC